AACACAAATTGATACTAAGTTTCAGTTTCAAAGGTGCGAATTATGGGGTCAACCCAGTTGTCCGAAACCCAGTTGTCCGAAACCCAGTTTTCCGAAACCCAGTTGTCCGAAACCCAGTTCTCCGAAAATTAGAGGATCTTATTTAAAAAATACATTTTTTAAACGAATCTCGTTGTCGCAACCTCTGCGAATCACAACATAACATTGGAATAACGTTGACATCATTGCAAAATTAGGCTAAATATGCTAAGTCAAGACGTTAATTGTTTAATGTTTAGCCTACGAAAGTTCATATACAGGTGATATAGATGTTCAAACAAACAAAGTTAAATTATGTTATTCTCATTGTAAAATGGCGTTTACACAACATACATAGATAGGGGTCTACAATTTTTAAACCAATTTTCTTTATGGCCCATGGGCCTTTTTTGAGAGGGAACAACATTTTTCCAATGGGTGATGAGCGTTCATAAAAAGATAAATAGCTTTCCCAAGCCAGTGGGCATTTATTTAGAAAAGTTGACATGTACATCTTTTGAAACCAAAACTTATTCTTCATTTACGTACTCTGTTCGAGAAATAGAGATTAAATTAAAAGGATGAAGTGAGTACATGGCGAAAATGAAACTTCTTGCGAATGGGAGAACATCCATTTTGATACGAGGACAGCCTGCCTTCGTTTCCAGTTGATCCCAAGTGATTAAGTTAAGAATGTTTTATTCTTTTACGATTTGATAAAATACAGAGACTAAGAAATTAAATGCGACGAAATATTTTGACAACGTAATATGTATACTGTTTTATTCTTAAAGTACTATATGCGTAAACTTATTTTATCTGTTTCAAAATGATTCATTTCATTTTGCCTATATAAAAGAGATTGAAGAAGATAAGATAAACTATTCCGTAATATATATTGTGTTTTGATAACCTTTTTTTAGAATCACAATGTAAAATAAGTCCCCCGTTCCTGCCATTCTGGTAACGCGTGCAATGGATGCAATTCAAAGTGAGAGAGAGAGATCTATGAACATCAGAATGCGTCCATGCCATTAATTTGGCCAAATACATGGCATGAAACTGGCCTTAGCTTAGTACGTCTCCCCTTTCTCTGGTAAATTATGACTATATTTTTCGGAGTAATGGGTTTCGGACAAGTGGGTTTCGGACAAGTGGGTTTCGGAGAACTGGGTTTCGGACAACTGGGTTTCGGAGAACTGGGTTTCGGACAACTGGGGTGCACCCGCGAATTATAAGTCCTTTATGCAATTATATTTGTATATTTATCTATATATAAAAATGTTCACTAATATAGTTTTTCATCAGCTGAGCGATGCATATTCTAAGTCCACCAAGTTGAAGATATAATCTAAGTTCATCAAATGAGTTGGTGAATATTCTAAGTCTATCAAACTGAAGATGTATGGAATCTGCTAAGTTCTTCAGATTATCGATGAATATTCTAAGTCCACCAAGTTGAAGATATAAACAAGTTCACCAAATGGGCTGTGAATATTCTAAGTCTATCAAACTGAAGATGTATGGAATCTGCTAAGTTCTTCAGATTATCGATGCATATTCTAAGTCCACCAAGTTGAAGATATAAACAAGTTCACCAAATGGGCTGTGAATATTCGAAGTCTATCAAACTGAAGATGTATGGAATCTGCTAAGTTCTTCAGATTATCGATGAATATTCTAAGTCCACCAAGTTGAAGACATAAACTAAGTTCATCAAATGGGCTGTGAATATTCGAAGTCTATCAAACTGAAGAAGTATGGAATCTGCTAAGTTCTTCAGATAATCGATGAATATTCTAAGTCCACCAAGTTGAAGATATAATCTAAGTTCATCAAATGGGCTGTGAATATTCTAAGTCTATCAAACTGATGATGTATGGAATCTGCTAAGTTCTTCAGATTATCTATGAATATTCTAAGTCCACCAGGATGACGATATAATCTAAGTTCATCAAATGAGCTGTAAATATTCGAAGTCTATCAAACTGAAGAAGTATGGAATCTGCTAAGTTCTTCAGATAATCGATGAATATTCTAAGTCCACCAAGTTGAAGATATAATCTACGTTCATCAAATGGGCTGTGAATATTCTAAGTCTATCAAACTGATGATGTATGGAATCTGCTAAGTTCTTCAGATTATCGATGAATATTCTAAGTCCACCAAGTTGAAGATATAAATTAAGTTCGCCAAATGGGCTGTGAATATTCTAAGTCTATCAAACTGAAGAAATATTCTAAGTCTATCAAACTTCAGTCAACCTTGGTGAATAGTGGCTAAGTCCCTCAATATATGCGTGAATATTCCTTAAGTTCCTCTGGGCATCAAACTCCAGGCAACTATGGTGAATATTGGCTAAGCCCCTCAATATATACGTGAATATTCCTAAGTTCCTCTGGGCATCAAACTCCAGGCAACTATGGTGAATATTGGCTAAGTCCCTCAATATGTGAGTAAATATTCCTTAAGTTTCTCTGGGCATCAAACTCCAGGCAACTATGGTGAATATTGGCTAAGTCCCTCAATATATGCGTGAATATTCCTAAGTTCCTCAATATATGCGTGAATATTCCTTAAGTTCCTCTGGGCATCAAACTCCAGGCAACTATGGTGAATATTGGCTAAGTCCCTCAATATATACGTGAATATTCCTAAGTTCCTCTGGGCATCAAACTCCAGGCAACTATGGTGAATATTGGCTAAGTCCCTCAAGGTAATATCCTCTAAGTGCATCAACCTAAAAATCTGCTAAGTCCATCTACAGGTGTGTTAAATCTGTCCAAGATTCTCGAAGTACCTCTGGGTAAAATCTTCAAAGTCCCTCTACGGGTTTGTCGAATCTGCCTAAGATCCTCTAAGTATACCAGGGTAATATCCTCTAAGTACCGCAGGTTAATTCCTCTTAAGTGCCTCTCAGTATATGTAGAATCTGCCTAAGATCCTCCGATTACATCAGGGTAAAATCACCTAAGTCCCTCAATATGTGAGATGAAATCTTCTAAGTCCATCAGATATATGCTTAGAATTAGCCTAAGTCCCTGAGGCATCAATCTCTTGAGGTGCGTGGAGGTTCCTTCTCATCAAAAGTTGTGTACGTGCCTCTCAGTATAGTATATGTAGAATCTGCCTAAGATCCTCGAAGTATACCAGGGTAAAATCCTCTAAGTCCCTCAACGGGTATGTCGAATCTGCCTAAGATCCTCTAAATATATCCTCAAAGTCCCTCAACGGGTATGTCGAATCTGCCTAAGATCCTCTAAGTATATCCTCAAAGTCCCTCAACGGGTATGTCGAATCTGCCTAAGATCCTCTAAGTATACCAGCAGGGTAAAATCCTCTAAGTCCCTCAATATGTGAGATGAAATCTTCTAAGTCCATCAGATATATGCTTAGAATTAGCCTAAGTCCATCGAGCGTCAATCCCTGGAGGCACACAGGTCTGTCCTCTCTCAGTTCCAGCTAGAAAGTTCCTGCTGAGTCACCTGGTCGTCTCTATTTATACCCCAGACATGTATGTAACATGTACTAGGTTTTGCACACGAACCTAACAAGTGATTAATGGGCTGATGCAATACCTAGGCCCCTGGACAGGACAAGACTGGTGTACAATTACTATGACGCAATCAGGATATGAATAGTGCAAAATAACTGGCTTCATTTAGAACTCACAATCTGTGCTATCTAATGTAACATCAATATATGTTTAGTATATAATTAACTAGATAAATGTATAAACTAAATAAATATAACATAAACCAATCATCATTGGTTTTAATCATGCCGAAATTGACCGAAAAAAACCTAGTAATTGAATGTAGGTCAAGATAGCTCTTCAAAAGTAAGATGAGAAAAATGTAAACAAATGAAAGCAAAATGAAATCTCACAAAATCGAACAGTTTACATGATTCTGCCTACTCCTTTAGTGTCACATACATTCATGTAAGTATACTACTTGTCAAACCAACTGAAAAACAGTTTCCAAATGTGTTAACTGTAAGCGAACTGATAAAATGGCACAGGACTACAAAGAACAGAAAATTTGAAAAGTACAAATTTGTTACACATGTTTAAATCACAGGGCACGAATGGCAACATTTTGAAAACACATAAGACATGTTAGATCAAGTCATGCACATTCCAAAATAGCCCATTATAGCTAATTTAGCTTATATATTGGAGGACACACTTTTTTCTGTCGGGACTCACTTTTTAAAATTTTTTCCTTCATTGGGACTCACATTTTTCAGAGCCTAATGCAAGCGCTGGTAACCCTTGCATATCGTGCTCACTCAAGTATTGAATAATTTTTTTATGATCTAAATGTTTGTGGTTTATAAAAAAATGTGATATATTTTAGTTAGAAATACATTAATTAATATATTCATTCAAACAGCACTAGAATGCGGGAAGAAAGAGCAATGGTGACAAAATGCAAACAGAATTTTCCGTAAGGGTTTCAAACATTTCTGAACACAATCATACATGTACGTGTACTGTTATTTTTAGTGCTGTATTTATAGATATAATTTCACATATTAAAATCATATTTTCCAGCAATGACTTCAAATTCGGAACCACACCCATATCACATTTTCTTCAATAACTCCAAACATGTGTAAACATTGACCATGTGCATATAAATTCAGATTTCACGAGCTCTTTCCTATTCGAGTACCTCATACACCCCTGCATGGATTTGAGTTGGATTCGCCTTTTATACGTGAGCCGACACACTCGCAAACGCTGATTGGATAAAGATTGCGAGAATCTTTAAGGGGTCCTTTTGATCACATGACCAAATTGAAAAAAGAGCTCTAAAAAGTTAATGTGTCATACGAAGAAGTATGATTCTTTCTTTCAACAGTACAAAAATTAAATTTCTCTGTCAGTGAAAATGTTTAAGAAATCAATTAAAGTTCAGTTTTATACATGTGTGTTCATTTTTTGTACAAAGATTATATTTATATTCTCAATACAGGGCTACAACAGTAGGGATCTATGTGCTATCAGTTGCTGGAATGTTGGCGTTCTCTCTCACACTAATGCTCAACCAGATATGGATTGTATTTGTCTGTGCATTTATCTTAGGGTAAGTTAACTATGGGTATATATATGGGTAACAAATTTTGGACCACAACCAAAGATGGTCGAAGATACTTCAATACCCTAACCCAAACCTTAAACCTTAATCCAAACCTAATCGGAAATTCTCTCGGCTATCTTCAGTTGTGGTGCAAAGGTGCTCTCCCTTCCCAATATATTTCCCTAAATATTTGTAATCTGTGAACATATCGAGTGTCCCAAAAATGAGACACTTTTTGACAAGTATTTTCTCGAAAACTGATGAACCAAATTCACTGAAAATTCGTACTAATTCAGGAAATTTTGTTCATCAGTTGCGGAGAAAATACTTGTCAAAAAAGTGTCTCATTTTTGGACACCCGATAAATATGATGTTTCATATTGGTTTATCAGGTTTGTTTATTGAGTTTTGTAATAGATTCAAATGTTGTCATTTATGCTTTCTCATTGTACTTAATGAAATTATTTTTTAAAATATTGAGAAATAGTGAACATCTGATATCTGAAAATCTGATGTCTGAGATATTCATTTATGCTTAATTTGGAAGATTGAACCTTCAAATTTAAATTTCGTTTATTTTCAGCTTTTTCATGACTGGCTATTTACCTGTTGGGTTTGAGTTTGCTGCTGAAATCACATACCCAGAACCTGAAAGCACATCATCAGGGCTCCTCAATGCTAGTGCTCAGGTAGGTCTTACATACCCAGAACCTGAAAGTACATCATCAGGGCTCCTCAATGCTAGTGCTCAGGTAGGTCTTACATACCCAGAACCTGAAAGTACATCATCAGGGCTCCTCAATGCTAGTGCTCAGGTAGGTCTTACATACCCAGAACCTGAAAGTACATCATCAGGGCTCCTCAATGCTAGTGCTCAGGTAGGTCTTACATTCCCAGAACCTGAAAGTATATCATCAAGGCTCCTCAATGCTAGTGCTCAGGTAGGTCTTACATTCCCAGAACCTGAAAGTACATCATCAGGTCTCCTCAGTCCTAGTGTTCAGGGTTGCAGCGTACACATTTGATACATACATGTACCTGGATATCAGTCCAGGTAATTATACAGACTGTATTTATTAGACTCCAGATTGAAAATCTGGAGTCTATTGTTTTTGCCTGTTTTCTTATTATTAGAATGCCGGTTTCGAAGAAACGGCATTCTATAGTTTTCGCCTTTTTCTTATTATTAGACTCCAGATTGAAAATCTGGAGTCTATTGCTTTTGCCAGTTTTCTTATTAGACTCCAGATTTCATCTGGAGTCTATTGCTTTTGCCAGTTTTCTTATTATTATTATTATTATTATTTTTCTTTCTTTGCCAGTTTTCTCAGCTACTAGAAGGACTTACTAAAATCTGCTAACATAGTCAGCTGGGTAATGAGACCTAGTTTCTGGGAAATTAGGTCAAATGTTTATCTAGGTCAAAGGTCAAGAACTAGGTCAAATCGTGTGTTTTCACTATTTTACAAGTTTTCTCAGTCGTCCTTCGGTATTTTGGCTCCGGGTTTTTTTCATCATGTTCCTTAGAAAAAAAGCTAATTCCGTAAGGCAAATCGTTTTTTGATTACTCCTACCGATTTTGAGATATGGCGTCCGAAAAGTAGGTCAGAACATAAAAAGTTCTCCAAAGTCAACGTGTGAGTGATCAAATAAGTGTAGAATTATCTCAGGAATCCGAATCTGCAAACAAAAATCTGATCCGACATCCGGTTCGGAAGTTATAGCCTTTTGAAATCTCAAAAATCGCTAAATTTGGTGCCTATGTTAAGTCAATGGGAAAAAAGACTTTTTCGAAGTGTAAAATACAAGATGTAGACTGAGTACAGCTTAACATAATGAATGCTTATAAAACAAGGGGACCTCAAAAGCTACATAGCTTCAAAATTTGGACACCAAAATGCCTAGGTCAAAATCTAGGTCAAATTCATAGTTTTTCCTTATTTTTGCGATTCTGGCACTACACTTTTAGGATTTGCTTCAAAATTTTGTATACAGGTAGCAAAGAGTGTGCTAATAGTGTTAGCCTTTTGCCGTCAAAAAGTATTTTGACCCACTTTTGAGATATGGTGTCCGTAAAGTAGGTCAAAATAAAAATTTATCATAATTTAACTTATGAGTTATGAATTAAGGGTAGAATTTTCTCAGGAATCCGAATCTGCAAACCAAATTTCAATCCGACTTTTCGTTGGGAAGTTATGGCGTTTTGAAAGCTTTAAAATCGCTAATTTTGGTGCCCTATGTTATGTCAATGAGAAAAAAGATTTTTTTGAAGTGTAAAATACCAGATAAAGACTGAGTACAGCTTAAGATTCTGAAAGTCTATAAAAGAAGGGGACCTCGAAGGCTATCTAGCTTTAAAATTTGGACACCAAAATCCCTAGGTCAAAATCTAGGTCAAATACATAGTTTTTCCTTATTTTTGCGATTTTGGCACTACACCTTTAGGATTTGCTTCAAAATTTTGTATACAGGTAGCAAAGAGTGGGCTTATAGTGTTAGCCTTTTGCCGTCAGAGAGTATTTTGACCCACTTTTGAGATATGGTGTCCGAAAAGTAGGTCAAAATAAAAAATTCTCCAAATTTTACATATGAGTTATGAATTAAGAGTAGAATTTTCTCAGGAATCCGAATCTGCAAACCAAATTTCGATCCGACTTCCGGTTCCAAAGTTATGGCGTGTCCGAACAGTAGGTCAAAATAAAAAATCGCCAAATTTAATGTATGAGTTATGAATAAGGGGTAGAATTTTGTCAGGAATCCGAATCTTTAAATCAAATTTCGATCCGACTTCCGGTTTGAAAGTTATGGCGTTTTGAAATTTCGAGAAAAATCGATCTGATGTTATCCTGTTATCCTGAAGTCAAGGAAAAAAGATTTTTTTGAAGTGTAAAATACGAGATATAGATTGAGTACAGCTTAAGATAATGAATTCCTATAAAAGAAAGGGACCTCAAAAGCTACCTAGTTTCAATATTTGGACACCAAAATGCCTAGGTCAAAATCTAGGTCAAATTCATAGTTTTTCCTTATTTTTGCGATTCTGGCACTACACTTTTAGGATTTGCTTCAAAATTTTGTATACAGGTAGCAAAGAGTGTGCTAATAGTGTTAGCCTTTTGCCGTCAGAGAGTATTTTGACCCACTTTTGAGATATGGTGTCCGAAAAGTAGGTCAAAATAAAAGTTCTCCGAATTTAGCATATGAGTTATGAAATAAGGATAGAATTTTCTGAGGAATCTGAATCTGCAAACCAAATTTCGATCCGACTTTCTGTTTGAAAGTTATAGCGTTTTGAAAGCTCAAAAATTGCTAAATTTGGTGCCCCATGTTATGTCAATAGGGAAAAAGATTTTTTTGAAGTCTAAAAGACCAAATATAGACTGAGTACAGCTTAACATTCTGAAAGCCTTTAAAAGAAGGGGACTTCGAAGGCTATCTAGCTTTAAAATTTGGACACCAAAATGCCAAGGTCAAAATCTAGGGCAAATTCATAATTTTCCTTATTTTTGCGATTCTGACATTACACTTTAATGATTTGCTTCGAAATTTTGTATACAGGTAGCAAAGAGTGTGCTTATAGTGATAGCCTTTTGCCGTCAGAAAGTATTTTGACCCACTTTTGAGATATGGTGTCCAAAAAGTAGGTCAAAATAAAAAAATCTCCAAATTTAATGTATGAGTTATGAATTAAGGGTAGAATTTTCTCAGGAGTCCGAATCTTTAAACCAAAATACAATCTAACTTCTGGTTAGATAGTTATAGCGGTTTGAAGTCTCGAAAAGTCGATATGATGATATCCCCATGTTAAGCCAATGGAGTCGAAGATAAAAAATGGAGAGTTGTCTAAATGTCTAAATTCTAGCTGACTCGATCAGCTTATTCTGGATGACTCAGCTTACAAGTATTCTGGATGACTCAGCTTAAAAAAAGAATTAAATCTGGAGTCTTAAATTGAACTTGTTCAATTTACATGTCTAGTTATTATTATTTTTCTTTCCGAACCAGTTTTCTCAGCAACTAGAAGACCTTACTCAAATCTACTTACAGGGTCAGTAAGGAGATGAGATCTAGTTTCTGGGAAATTAGGTTAAATTTTTATCTAGGTCAAAGGTCAAAATCTAGGTCAAATTTATAGTTTTCCTTATTTTTACGATTCTGACACTACACTTTAATAATTTGCTTCAAAATTTTGTATACAGATAGCAAAGAGTGTGCTTATAGTGTTAGCCTTTTGCCGTCAGAAAGTATTTTGACCCACTTTTGAGATATGGTGTCCGAAAAGTAGGTCAAAATAGAAAGTTCTCCAAATTTAACGTATGAGTTAATGATTAAGAGTAGAATTTTCTCAGGAATCCGAATCTGCAAACCAAATTCCGATCCGACTTTCGGTTCGGAAGTTATGGCGTTTTGAAAGCTCAAAAATCGCTAAATTTGGTGCCTATGTTAAGTCAATGGGAAAAAAGACTTTTTCGAAGTGTAAAATACAAGATATAGACTGAGTACAGCTTAATATAATGAATGCTTATAAAAGAAGGGAACCTCAAAAGCTACATAGCTTCAAAATTTGGACACCAAAATGCCTAGGTCAAAATCTAGGTCAAATTCATAGTTTTTCCTTATTTTAACGATTCTGACACTACACTTTAATAATTTACTTCAAAATTTTGTATACAGGTAGCAAAGAGTGTGCTAATAGTGTAAGCCTTTTGCCGTCAGAAAGTATTTTGACCCACTTTTGAGATATGGTGTCCGAAAAGTAGGTCAAAATAAAAAGTTCTCCAAATTTAACGTATGAGCTATGAATTAAGGGTAGAGTTTTCTGAGGAATCTGAATCTGCAAACCAAATTTCGATCCGACTGCCGGTTCGGATGTTATGGCGTTTTGAAATCTCAAAAATCGCTAAATTTGGTGCCCCATGTTAAGTCAATGGGAAAAAAGACTTTTTCGAAGTGTAAAGTACAAGATATAGACTGGGTACAGCTCAACATAATGAACTTTTGTAAAAGAAGGGGACCTCAAAAGCTACATAGCTTCAAAATTTGGACACAAAAATGCCTAGGTCAAAATCTAGGTCAAATTCATAGTTTTTCCTTATTTTTATGATTCTGACACTACACTTTAATAATTTTCTTAAAAATTTTATATACAGGTAGCAAAGAGTGTGCTATTAGTGTAAGCCTTTTGCCGTCAGAGAGTATTTTGACCCACTTTTGAGATATGGTGTCCGAAAAGTAGGTCAAAATAAAAAGTTCTCCAAATTTGACATATGAGTTATGAATTAAGGGTAAAATTTTCTCAGGAATCCGAATCTGCAAACCAAATTTCGATCCGACTTCCGATTCTAAAGTTATGGCGTGTCCGAAAAGCAGGTCAAAATAAAAATTCGCCAAATTTAACGTATGAGTTATGAATTAGGGGTAGAATTTTCTCAGGAATCCGAATCTGCAAACCAAATTTCAATCCGACTATCGGTTCCAAAGTAATGGCTCGAAAATCGCTAAATTTGGTGCCCCATGTTATGTCAATGAGAAAAAAGATTTTTTTGAAGTGTAAAATACAAGATATAGACTGAATACAGCTTAACATTCTGAAAGCCTATGAAAGAAGGGGACCCCGAAGCCTATCTAGCTTTAAAATTTGGACACCAAAATGCCTAGGTCAAAATCTAGGTCAAATTCATAGTTTTTCCTTATTTTTGAGATTCTGACATTACACTTTAATGATTTACTTCGAAATTTTGTATACAGGTAGCAAAGAGTGTGCTTATAGTGTTTTGCCGTCACAAAGTATTTTGACCCACTTTTGAGATATGGTGTCCTAAAAATAGGTCAAAATAAAAAATTCTCAAAATATCCCTTATGAGTTATGAATTAAAGG